AGAAGTGAGGAAGCTACAGAAAAAAAGTTGGAAGCTAGAGGTTGGCATGAGGTTAAAGGAAAGAAGTCATCTCCATAACAAAGTGCAAGGTAAAGAGCAGGGCTGGTATAGAAGCTACAGTAAGTTATCTAGAAGATCTAGCTATGATTATTGATGAAGGTGGCTACACTACACAACGGATTTTCAAGGTAGATGAAACAGCCTTCTATTGGAAAACAATGCCATGTAAACTTTCATGGTTAGAGAGAAGTCAATTCCTAGCTTCAAAGCTTAAAAAGACTGGTTGACTGTTTTGTTAGGGGCTATAAGAGGCTGGTGATTTTAAATTTAAGTCGGTGCTCATTGACCATTTCAAAAATTGTAGGGCCCTTAAGAAGTATACTTAAAGCTACTCTGCCTGTGCGCTTCCTGGAACAATAAAGCCTAATGAAACACACCTGTTTACAACATGGTTTGCTGAATATTTTAAGCCTAATGTTGAGACCTACTGGTCAGAAAAAAAAAAAAAAAAGATTTCTTTTTGAAATAGGGTCCCTCTGTGTTGCCCAGGCTGGTCTTGAATTCTTGGCTTCAAGCCATCCTATCCAATCTGTTTTTAGTAGGCCTGAATCTTAGTAAGCTCTAACATGTGAATGTCAGTGGCAAAATATAACCTAAACATAATCAGCTGAACCAAGAGATGGAATTGCAGTGGTAGCTGAGGTTGGCATTAGATTTTGAGTAAAATAATCTTTTAGTTATATAGACTATTAACGTGTTGGTGAGTTGAAAATTTCTTGATCCTTGTTGCCTATTTTTAGGACATTATATTGGGTTGGTGCAAAAGTAATTGTGGTTTTTGCCATTATGCAATACATCTACACATTTATTTTAAAATACATAAATATCAAAACCATGTTTCTTATTAAGAGTGTAAAGTTATATTTGGGTATCTGAAGGTATCTAAATATTAATAAATAAATGACAATAAGTTATAATAAGATATCCAAAGATTCTAAGACTATTTTTTTGAAAAGTATTTGTTTTTTCTAAAAGTTAATTTTTTCTCTCTGTGGTTTTGATTTTCATCCCATTTCACCTCAAGAACTATATAGAGGATTAACTTCTTAGTTTCCTGTGTCTTCTAATATAATCACCCTGTCACATGGTCTCACTGGCTCTTGTTAATTATAAAAGCACTAATAATAACCCTAAATTTCAGGACCTAAACCATGGGTTTAACCATAGAGGAGTGATAACTTTTAATCATAAATAGGTAGATAATAATAAATAACCTCTTCCATTTATTTAGGTTGAAGAGAGAAACTCTGCTCTGTATAGTATGAAAGGCCAAATGGGAGCCACCTGAAAATTCCCCCCGCCATCCACAGTAACAAAAGTAATATCACATCTTGGGCTGGATGGAAGGAAGCAGGGCTATGGTCCCCATCATGCCCCATTTTAATTTAATTTAAGAAGTTAGCCCACCGCAGTGTCCATGTTTTAAAGGCATGGGTCAAGGAACCACTTGGAGAACCTGTGCCTCTCATTTCCACAACTTTTGGCCATGCTGGGCCAGAGGTTCTAGCTCCTGGTAGGGAGAGGGATCCGTCTAGAAGTAGCTAGAATGAAGTTTCCACTAAATCTAAAGTTACATCTTCTCCCTTGACATTTTAAGCTTCTTATTCCAGTTAACCAAGATGCAATAAAGAAGCCCTGATTAATGAGCATACACAGTTGCTATGATATTATAGGGGTGGAGAAGACTATGTCCTGCAATCCTTTGCTAGGGGCTTTCTCTGGCCACTAAAGCATGCTTGTTCATGTTCTGGAGAAATGAACACATCCCAGGAGAAGCTGTGAACCAAAGGTGATGGAATTTGTTGAATAGATATCTCATTTTTCTCACCCTTCCTTAGCTCCAAGACACATGATCTGCACTATTTTCCAAAGTTCACAAGAAGGGTCAAGCTCCAGTTGTCCTTGCAGTTCTTTTCTTGAAAACACACTCTCGTACTCGTGATTGAGCTTCCCTCCCTTCTCTGTCTTCATTCCCTTCTCCCTTAAGCCTACCAAATAAAGTTCTTGCCCTCAAATCCTTATTTCAGTGTCTCCAGGAGTACCCAAACTAAGGCAGCGTCCTTGAAATTTGTTTTCTCTTTACGAAGCATGTTACCATTTTTAAAATACTGTTGTAGTGCCCAGCCACCATGCACACTTCAATACATGCTGGGATAACATCTTACAAAGCAGTGGTCTAATTGTTTACATGCTCATAGTCATGAATCAAAGATGCAAGAAAATATTCTGCAAATGATGCAAGAAAACATTCCTTGAGAGCACTCAAATTGTACACTAAAGTTTAAAATCTGTTTAAAACACGTATTTGCATACACACACACATATACGTATGTGTGTATAATATATATACACATATATGTATATACATAATATATCACATATATCACATATATACATATATAATATATATTATTTATCACATATATATATAATAGGCATTTTAAATTTGGGTACTTAAAAGGACAAATTTCTTTTCTTTCAGAATCTTCCCTATGTGGAAGATTCTGAGCCTTGGATCCTCGATGAGCCTGCTAATAAGGCTGTCTAAGTGGTACTCTGCATAACCCAATGGTGCCTTGCAACCTGCAGCCCAGTATCTTCTGGAATCTTCTGGGATTCTGCAGGGCACAACTGGATTTACAACAGGCATTTGTAAAATGGTTATCTGTCTCCTTAGATATTACCACCACAATACAAAATGAAATGAGCCAGCCCATGAAACTAAAGCACTTCCCTGTCCCAAAAGAAACGTTAGACTGTGGATGTTGAAGCTACTTTTATTCAATGCAGTTTTCATTGCCCTGAGGTGCTTTATCTACTGCTGGAATGTACTTACTGAATCATATTTTAAACCAGTATTCGTTCTGATTCTATATGCGCCTCAAAGTCTAAGCACATTGGAACTGGATAAAGGGCTACTGTCAAGTTCAATTTAGTTAAGATTACCTCCTCCACAATACTTCAAAGATTTTATTCACATAAATTATACAGGAGGATTAGAATATGCACTCAGTTAAAAAAGATTACTTTGCCATTCTGATGATCATGCACAATCTTATTGCTAATAAACTTCTTTGTATAGTTTCCCACACAAACAAGTAGAGTTTCTCATGGGAAATATGCTTCTGTAGTTTTTTTTTTTAAAGAAATATATACGAAGCTTTGTAGTTGTTTAAAAAAATCAACAAATAAAGCTGTACCTTAAAAGGAATAATCTACTGGAATATTACAGAAAATTAAATATCTACTAAGCCTGTTGCAAATAAATCAGCTTTTGAGGTTTCAAAAGTCATTTTTATAAGTGATTTCTATTGACCACATGATTATATGAGTAAACTTTAGAGAAGATGTTGAACATTTGCACCTCAGAGCCTAATGCAGCCTGCATTGCATATTGCCCATCTGTTTTTTTTTTCAAGTTTTTCATTTCAAATGCTTTCTCGGTTTTGTAACCACCCTCTCAATACCTCACTATTGTCTGGTACTCAACTGAATTCAAATTTTGGTGTTAACTGCCATGCCTCACCTCACAGGGAGGCTGAGATTGCAACCTCTGCATTAAAACAGGGGGCCCAGTGGATTTTCCGGAGACCCATAATTAGATGCATTTAATAATATATTTGAACATATTTTAATATATTTTTATAATGATCATATTTCTATGGTATGGGAAAGGGGTCCAATCCAGACCTCAAGAGGGGATTCCTGGATCTCTCACAAGAAAGAATTCAGAGCGAGTCCATAGTGCAAAGCAAAAGCAAGTTTATTAAGAAAGTAAAGGAATAAATGAATGGCTAGCCATAGACAGAGCAGCCCCAAGGGCTGCTGATTGCCCATTTTTATGGTTATTTCTTGATTATACGCTAAACAAAGGGTGGATTATTCATGCCTTCCCTTTTTACACCAAATAGGGTAACTTCCTGTTATTGCTATGGCATTTGTAAACTGTCATGGCAGTGGTGGGGGTGTAGCAGTGAAGATGACCAGAGATCACGCTCATCGCCATCTTGGTTTTAGCAGGTGTTGGCCTGCTTCATTACTACAACCTGTTGATCAGCAAGGTCTTTGTGACCTGTATCTTGTGCTGACCTCCTATGTCATCCTATGTCTTAGAATGCCTTAATGGGCTGAGAATGCAGCCCAGTAGATCTCAGCTTCATTATACCCAGCTTCTATTTAAGATAAAGTTGCTCTGGTTCAAACACCTCTGACGCTTATTCAGGCTGTGACATGACTGATTGTTTAAAGTTAAAACATGGCAATTTCATGATTTTTCTCCCCTTTCCCAGTTTCCTTCTTCTAGTTATTTTTTGTATTTATATTCTCTGATCTCCAAGTATGCCAGGAAGCAAGTAGACACAGGGCTAGTGTGGCAGAAAGGGAAACAGCAAGAATAGCATGCTGAAGTCCTTTCTTTCAATTAACACTCATGGGTCATGCTCTGGCAATCACTCCTGTTGACGCACAGAGGTGGCTTCACAGATGGAACTAGAGTTGAACAACTTCCTGGATAGAGCAATGTGGCTTAAAAGTGTCTGCTTTTTAAGTATTTGTTTATTTGTCTTAATGTAATGGGTAAAGATAATTCCTCATTACATGATTTACATCTGTAACCTGAGAAGAGTTAGATTTTTGACTTTAAATTGTATTTGGAACCCAATTTTAGACTGATGAAGGTATAAATGATCTAAGAGTAAAAACTTAGTGATTTAACTTGTTCAAAGTGTTTTCATTCCCTTGTGTATCTTCTCATAATCTTCTAGAGAAATTAAGTATTATTGTCCCCAGTTCACAGGAAAAAGAAACTTAAAAATGAAATTGAGGAATTTTTTGCTCAAAATCATACATTTAATTAAGTTAGCATCCAGTAGAATTAATTTTTTATTATACTACATATTTATGTGGAATAATGTCTTCTTATTTTATAATCTCTTCTACAGAATTTAATCTTAGGAAAGATCAAAACAAAAAACCTAAGCAGAACTGGAGTGCCTACCAGGTAAGGCCAGGATCTTATTCAGGTTTAGCCTGGCTATGAAAGCTCTCTCTCTCCATTTCCAGGTGTCTTAGTCCAGTTAGCATTGCTATAGCAGAATACCTGAGGCTGGGTGATTCATAAATAAGAGAGGTGTATTTTGCTTATGATTCTGGTAGCTGGAAAGTTCAAAGCTAGACAGCTGCATCTGGGGAAGGCCTCAGCTGCTTCCTCTCATGGTGGAAAGTGAAAGATGAGTGATAAGTGTAAAGAGAGAGGTGAGAGAGGAAATGACCGAGACTGTGGAAGCCAGATTCATTTTAACAACCTGCTCTTGCTTTCACAGACACAAATCAACTCCCCCAGAGTGAGAACTCACTTACTTCAGCATGAGCATCTATTTATGAGGAATCTGCCCTGCCCTGTGACCCAAACATCTCCCATCAGGCCCCACCTCCCAACACTACACAGTAGGAATCAAATTTCAACATGAGTTTTCACTGGGCCAAACCATACCAAACCAAAGCACCACGTAAAAAGCACAAAAGAGCAAGTTTTTTCTAAAGCTTCTGGAGAAAAAGCAGTTACCCTGCACAGTGTAGTTAAATTGAGTAGGTGAGACTAGAGGAAAAGCCCTATCAGATCCAGCAGTTTCAATTCTTCTATATAATTGAGGAAGAACCCCAGATGTTCTCCTCCTGACTAAGCTAGCATTGACTTGTTATAAAGAAGCTGGCGGACCATACTACCTGTCATTAAAAAGGAATTTGCCTTTTTCTCTGGATCACAAAAGGGAAAAAAGACTGCTTAATTTGCTGAAGGACATCAATTAGTGCCAATTCAAACATAAAAACAGGTGGAATCTTTAAAAATATATTCTTTGAAGCAATCATATATTAGGATACATTACCAACTCATGGAGCATTTTAAAGGATGCATTGGGTGAGGCTAAGCCAGACAATTAAAGACATCAAAGTCATACTGCACAATATTAATCAAGTTTAGCCTAAAGCTGCCTCCTTACATATTTAAGTTCTAAAGGTTTTTCTGTACATTGTGAACTCCAACAAGTGGAGGTGTTAACTGACCATAGCCCACACCTATGCTAATCACTGAGTTTTGGCCAATCAAATGTAGCCAGCTGTTGGAATGGTGTTCAAATAAGGCAAACACCAACCTGTAACAAATCCAGCTGTTTCTGTCCCTCACTTCCAATTTCTGTACATTATTTCCCCCCTCTTTTTTTTTTTTTGTCTATAAATCTTCCACCACATGGCTATGCTGGAGTCTCTCTGAATCTACTGTGATTCTGGGAGCTGCCTGATTCATGAATTGTTGATCATTCAATTAAACTCCTTCAAATTTAATTCAGCTGAAGTTTTTCTTTTAAAAGCAAGAAACCAACAGTCCTTCCTCCTTTTCCCCAGTACCACAGGGTAATTTTACTTGTCATTGTTTGATCTCAATGAATTTAATCTGATACAGCTACAGAGAAGTGCTGGAGGGGGCTAAACGCTAACATTATCACAGGAATACAAGAGTACCCCCCCAATCCGTGGTTTAGCTTTCTGTGTTTTCAGTTATCCACAGTAAATCATAGTTATTTTTGTTAATGATAAAGTATTTTGAGAGAGTCATGATACTCACATAACTTTCATTACAGTATATTGTTATAATTATTCCATTTTGTCATTAGTTATTGTTAATCTCTCACTGTGCCTAGTTTATAAACTAAACTTTATCATAGTATGTTTAGAAACAAATAAATAGTATATATAGGGTTTGGTACTATCCATGATTTCAGGCATCCACTGAGGGTCTTGGAACATATCCCCCACAGATAAAAGGGGATTACTCTTTTTTTTCTTTTTTTAAGAGGGAGTCTCACTGTGTTGCTCAGGCTGGAGTGCAGTGGCACAATCTTGGCTCACTGCAACCTCCGTCTCCTAGGTTCAAGAGATTCTCCTGCCTCAGCCCTCTGAGTAGCTGGGATTACAGGCGCCTTCCACCACACCTGGCTAATTTTTGTATTTTTAGTAGAGATGGGGTTTCACCATGTTGGCTGGACTGGTCTTGAATTCCTGATCTCAAGTGATCCACCCGCCTTAGCCTCCCAAAGTGTTGGAATTACAGGTGTGAGCCACCGTGCCCAGCCAGGATTACTCTATTTTGAGACCAAGGTTTTGCAACCTGGAATTCAGAGCACTATGCAAAAAGTTGTTGCTAAATGGAAATTGAAATTTAGTTATCTTTTCAGAACTGGGCTAGAACTTTTGGGTAAGTGATTCTACTACAGCTAGTTTTATGATTATATGGTGTACATGGTATGATCTGAAGGAATTCAAGTTCAATATCTTAAAAGTTCAAACTCGGCCAGGCACGGTGGCTCACACCTATAATCCCAGCACTTTGGGAGGCCGAGGCGGGTAGATCATGAGGTCAAGAGATCGAGACCATCCTGGTCAATATGGTGAAACCACGTCTCTACTAAAAATACAAAAATTAGCTGGGCATGGTGGTGCGTGCCTGTAATCCCAGCTACTTGGGAGGCTGAGGCAGGAGAACTGCTTGAACCCAGGAGGCGGAGGTTTCGGTGAGCTGAAATTGAGCCATTGCACTCCAGCCTGGGTAACAAGAGCAAAACTCTGTCTCAAAAAAGAGTTCAAACCCACTGCCTGTCATTGCACCATCGGGGGTTCATTCCTTTGGGAATTAGAGGCTTCTTAATCATGTAACTTTACTGCCAGAACTTGAAATTGAACTTGCTTTCTTTGAATTTTCCATCTAGGGGGTTTCGCTTCACTTTGATGCTGCCCTTTAGCCAACAGCCCTGGAGAACAAGTGTGAGACTCAGAAGAGAAGGAAGACTTCAAAGGGCCGGAAAGGAGGCTCTGGAGTTAGTGACAGGGGACTCAGAAGAAGTTGAGTAAGTTCCAGTGAAAGTCTGCTTCAGGTAGAACTTCTATACCCACCTTCTGGAACTTGAAGTACCTCTTTGTTATTTGATTGACTGTATGGCACCCTTCTTCCTAGATGTACTCAGTGACATATTTTTAAAATGGAAGAGAAATGACTTTAACATGAGGAATTGTGAGATCCCTTAGGGCATCATGAAACTAAGGAAAAAAAAGTATGTTGTCAAGTCAGCCCTGCAGTGGCTGGAGAAAGCAACCACATTTCTTTTTAACGTAATTGTACTGTCTCTGTCATTTTGTCATCAATATCAAATTAGCAAACTAATGATTACAAATGAAAAAAAAAGTCAGATCTGGAAATGTGACAGAGTAAGTGAGATAGACCAGCCAAGGTTACCTGGTACAAGGGACTTTTGATGCTAAAAATGAGATGATCCTGGGCAAATCAGGATGGTTGGCCAACCTAAGTGAGTTGCAATTTAAATAAACCCTGAGTTCTGTTCTTTGCATGAGTTGGTCTCTGCATTCAAAAGGTTTGCTCAGTTGGGAAGAATGTTTCTTTAGAGAAAATGTCATACGATGCCATTGTCCAGAAACATGCATTTGGAGCACATTTTTGGAACCTTGGTGAGAAGCATGGCAAAGATGTGACTGGCAACATAAACATACCTTTATTTTTTAGCTTCAGGTCCTGAGTGTGGTTAAGCCTCAGAGACAGCAAAGGAACAGAGAAGCTATTCTGCAGGTGATTGAGGGCAAAGAGGCACCGGAGACATGTAGACCCTGTCCATAGCAGGGCACAGCACTCGCCCCAGATACATTTCATCTACATATCTCATCCCAAACCTACTCAGTGCTTTCCCACCTCCTTTGTCCCAGAATGCCTTTCTCTTTCTTCTGCAACTGCAGGGAAAAAAAATACACTCTATTCTCCCAAGATCTTTTGAAATTCCACTTAAGGGAGAGAGTATTCCTGGCTACCTCTCTCTCCTTTAAATTCTCATGGGGTCAATTTTCTTCTGTTGGTGTTTGTCTACTGGTTGTAATGATAATTAATTTTTCATGTCTTATCTCCTCAGCTGGGTTGTGAAGAGAGAGCTGAAACAGAATTATTTCTTGTTTTTTTTTTAAATTTTCTCTGATGTGTTGCATAGCGCCTAACCCAGGTTGTCTAAGTCAGCACTATCCAATGGAAACATCAGGTGAGCCACATTTGTAATTGAAAATTTTCTAGCACATTGGAAAAAAGTAAAAAGAAACAAATGAAATTAATTCTAGTTATATATTACTTAGCCCCTATATCTAAAATATTATTTCAACATGTAATCGGTATAAAAAAATCACCTAGATATTTCTTACATTATTTTGATTCTGCCAAGTGTATTTTATACTTCAGCACCTCAATTTGGATTCGCCACAACTCTTTTTTTTTTTTTGAGACACAGTCGTTCATTCTGTCACCCAGGCTGGAGTGCAGTGGTGCAATCTCAGCTCACTGCAACCTCTGCCCCCCAGGTTCAAGTGATTCTCCTGCCTCAGCCACCTGAGTAGCTAGAACTACAGGTGCACACCACCATGCTCAGCTAATTGTTGTATTTTTAGTAGAGACGGAATTTCACCATGTTGCCCAGGATGATCTCGAACTCTTGACCTTATGATTCACCTATTTTGGCCTCCCCAAATGCTGGGATTACAGGCATGTAATCTGGGCCTGGATTTGCCACATCTGAAGTGCTCAAGAGTCACATGTGGCTAGTGGCTAGTGGCTACCATTTTGGACTGCACAGGTCTAAATGATAAGTTGAGAGAATGTACTAATGCAAACGATGGAGACTATATATGATGGAAGGAGTTTAGTATGACTTTGTAATCAATGAAAAGATACAATGAGTTTTTGAAAGGACTGCAATAAAGTGTCTTAACATAATACAAGTAGCGATTAGGGAGGTGAATTTATAGAAATCAAGAGAAAGGTTGATTTTTGTGATAAATACATGGAGGAATAGTAGCAGAACTTTGTGACTGATGGAATATAAAAAAGTAAAGAACAGAAAGGAGCAAACAATAACTTTCAGGTATTAAGCCTGAAGTACCAGGAGAATAGTAAGAAGAAAATAGGAGAGAAATACAAGCCTAAGAAAGAGATGAATTTGTTTTCCACCGTATAGTTTCAGGTGGTGATACCTTTATCTCATCCGAGACTGAATGTGGAACAAGAATGTGAGATGAGTCTTGGAAAGGAGTTTTGGGGGTTGATGTCATCAAGTTGTTTGGGCCTTAAAGATGCGTAACAACCTAGATCATGAAGATTGATGGACCTAAGTATGACTCAATAATTTAATCTTAAGAGTGCCTTAGTTAGCAAGTAAGACAAAAAGTTATCAGGATAGTAGGAGGATACCTAAGAGATCATGGAAGCCAAGGAGGAGACAGTTTCCAGAAAGAAAAAAACAAAGCAGGAGAGAGTCTGGGGCACATGAGAACTGGGAAAGGTCCACTGGATATGGTTAGGAAAAGATTTCTGGAGCAATTAGGCCCTTCGTCAAGGTTAAAGGAAAGAGAGGATTTACATTATCTGAGCTCTCTCCTAAATCCCTGGTTTTCAGTCCCTAACACAGCAGGCTAACTGACGTTTGGATTAAGAAAACTGACTTTTCCCAGCCGATAGAGTCTCAGCAGGAATCCTAGCGTGGGGTGGAGCTCAGGGCAATTCCTGGTTAACAGCCAATGTAAAGAAAACCCAGAAAGACACCAAGTGATATGATACAGGGAAATCCATAGGAAGAGCAATGTAGGATTGAAAGCCATTGCAAAACGATTATTTGTTCTCAGTTAAAAAACAAGCAGAAAAAGATGGATTAAAAGATTACTTGTCATTCATAAAGACTTGCTATATTTTTTTCCAACCATTTTTTCAATATTTTGTTGCTTGCCTTAAAGGATGGGCACATGTGGATTGTATCCAATGGGAAGTTGCCTCTAGGATTTTACACATTTTTGAAAGGGGAGCGAAGAACAGTGGTGGCCTAAAAGCTCTTAAAACTAGTGTTCTGGTCCCAGCGCGGTGGCTCATGCCTGTGATCCCAGCATTTTGGGAGTTCAAGGTGGGTGGAATCACCTGGGGTCAGGAATTCAATAGCAGCCTGGCCAACATGATGAAACCCCATCTCTACTAAAAATACAAAAAAAACAAAAACAAAAACCAAAAACCTAGGTGTGGTGGTGGGCACCTATAATCTCAGCAACTAGGGAGGCTGAGGCAGGATAATTGCTTAAACCCAGGAGGCAGAGGCTGCAGCCAGCTAAAATTATGCTATTGCATTCCAACCTTGGCAACAAGAATGAAACTCCATCTCAAAAACAAACAAACAAACAAACAAAAAATAACTAGTGCTCTGAACTCTGGTCCAACTCTTTTTCCCTTTTGAGTTGATTCAGTGAGAGCACGAGCATTAGCATCCGGTATCCAGCCATTTGAAAAAAAATTAGAGGATTTCAGCTTGTCTTTGCTAAAATGCCTTGGGAATAATAGAGTACAAATCAGAACCAGTAAGAATCCACTCCTTCAGTCTTGCTAGTTGAAGTAAATCCCTTATTTGTGGACATGAGATTTACTTTAGGTTGTATTTGGCAAGTGTGGGAGTACAGGGTGTGGAATTTATTCAGCTACAAAAGTCTCTTAAAATTCCCTGCAATTTCATAAAACCTTAAGAGTTCAGACATGCACGGATGTTTGTGAAATCTTTGGAAGATGACAACCTAAGTTACTCCATCTGCTGAAATGACTAAGCTGGATTTTCTGCTTCATTCTTAAGGGAACTTGACGAGGGATGAAAGTGAAAAGTGATGGCGGTAAACCAGGGAGGGTGAAGTAGAAAGTGGGTGAAAACCTTACTCAACTGGGAAAAAGATGCTAATTCAACTCCAGGCAGCAAGAGAAGATGCAAATGAAGATGCAAAATAGCTTAACCTTTTTCAATATTTCATTTCTAAAAATTCGATTCTATTTTCTCTTGTCTCATAGTCCATCTTAGAGATTCATACCAAAATTGTGGACATCTTAATTTTTCCGCATCTAAACACATTTTTTTTTTAAGAGACGGGGTCTCCCTATATTGCCCAGGCTGGAGTGTAGTGGCTATTCACAGGCGCGATCCCACTACTGATCAGCACGGGATTTTTGACCTCCTTCGTTTCCAACCTGGGCTGGTTCACCCTTCCTTAGGCAACCTGGTGGGCCCCTGCTCCCGGGAGGTCACCATATTGATGCCGAACTTAGTGCGGACACCCGATCGGCTTAGCGCACTACAGCCCAGAAGTCCTGGGCTCAAGCATCCTCCCACCTCAGGCTCCCGAGTAGCTGGGACTACAGGTACGTGCCACCGTGCCCGGCTAAACACATTTTTAAAGGTGAGAAATAACCAAAGTTGTGAGGCAGGATTCAGGGTTAATCAATAATTTCAAACAGGAAATGGAATATATTAAGTCAAGAACTAGTGTGTCAAGATATTCAGCAATCTTGTTAGAAAGTTGTTTGAAAGAACTTATTTTTTGCTTAGAGATGAAATAGCTTTTCTTATTCACACACATGAACACAGTGTGTTCTTGCCTCAGGAAGTGCTCCAGAGGGCAGATTAGATAAACTCAGAGATTGGTATTCTGACAAAATTGGCAGTTTCCGAATGTCAAATAGATTTGTTTATCCCAAATCATTGTGTTGTAATTTAATCACAGACTAAACAGATTTAAACACAGAGCATTTAAGTAAAAATATGTGGGGAAATAATTGCTCTTTTTCTTTTAAACCAAGTGAAAGATTTTAGATCAGATTACTAACCGTTAGAAATTAGACAAAGTATCTTGAGTCATCACTCCTTTGAACAACGCCTCCTAGCTGTGGGATTGAGGAGGCATCTGGTATTAAAAGTTCACATATATCATTTGCCTTCCTGTCATTAATGGTAATTTGCATAAGGAGTCATTTGTTTAACTGTGAAAATAAGTTTACATTGACAGTCTCTATTACCTAAGCCATTTAGTCTATTGGAGAATGCCTTCATAATCATGGTGCTGTTTAAACGTTCCAGTTTTTTTGTTTGTTTGTTTTTGTCTTTGAGACGAAGTCTTACACTGTCACCCAGGCTTGAGTGCAGCAGTGCCGGCTCACTGCAACCTCCGCTTCCTGGGCTCAAGAGATTCTCCTGCCTCAGCCTCCTCAGTAGATGGGATTACAGGCGTCTGCCACTGCCCACAGCTAATTTTTGTATTTTTAGTACAGAAGGGGTTTCACCATGTTGGCCAGGCTGGTCTCGAACTCCTGACCTCAGGTGATCCTCCCACCTTGGCTTCCCAAAGTGCTGGGATTACAGGCATGAGCACCCAGCCTACACTTCCAGTTTTTCATGAAATCCATGGATAGCTTCCTGAGGTACATGAACTCTGGAAACAGTAATTGAGATTTTGTGTGTGTGCTGGCTTCTGGAATGATGCCCCACACGATTTATTAGAATATCTTGGGGAAATATGTCTTGAAGTTAAGATTTAGAATATCACATTAAAACTGTATAGGTACTGTGAGGCAGCAATGCGAATCTGGCACTTTGCTAAAGTTATTACTAATAGGTGGATTAAAGGGACATTTACCCCAATACTAAGCAAAGTAAGGTGGACCTTTCTGTCAAACAAAAATAGTAATAGGCCGGGTGTGGTGGCTCAAGCCTGTAATTCTCAGCACTTTGGGAGGCTGAGTGGGGAGGATCATTTGAACCCAGGAGGTCGAGGGTACAGTAAGCTACGATCATGTCACTACCCTCCAGCCTGGGCGACAGAGTGAGAGACCCTGTCACTAAAAACAAACCACACACACACACACACACACTGTTCAATTCAGTGTGTGTTTTGCTTCGTTTTGGATTAAAATTAACAGGCTTTCACATTGTGACTTTGAGACTCCTAAAGTAAATAATAGCACAGGGGGAGAAACCCTGATTGTGTAACTTCTGCCCTCGCTCCCCTGGAAATGTCATTTCCTAAAAACCCATCTCCAAACAATCGTGGCTACCTATTGACGTCACTGGAGTCTTCCAAAATAGCAACTGCACATTATTTATCAACGTTTAGGTTGTATTTGACAAAGCACATCCATCTGGGCTTATATTTATCATTACTATTTTATTTTATTTTCTGATTTCCAAAATCTTTCTAGAATTAAAAGTAAACGCGGGACGAAACCCCCACTAAGAACTCTGCTTAGAAGATTTGGAAATGCCCAAATCTTGAGGTTTGGTCCTCCCAGGAAAGCATGAATTTTGTCCTCGTGCGCAGCCCCGCTTCCCGGTCCGCACCCACCGGCCTAGCCTCGGGCTAACGCCCGCGCACGTGTGCCCAACTCCTGGCGAACCTCGCGGAGCGGCGGCCGGACACCGCCCACCCCGGCGATTGGCCAGCGCGGCCGGGCCCGGCGGGAGGCGGGCTCAGGGTCGCGGTCCTGGAGCGCGGGGGAGGCTGGAGGAGGCGGCCCAGCCCGGCCCCGCGCCCCGCCCCCGCCCCGGGCGGCTACACAGAGGGGCGCCCACGTGCCCAGCCCGCCTTCTGCAGCGCGGCCAGCGGGTGCTTCTCTTCGCGGGACCAGCGAGGCAGAGGCCGCTCTTCCAGCCTCCCCCAGCCGCGGGCCCCGGACGCGCTCCAGCTGCCAGTCCACTGCAGCCTTCTCAGCGCGGCCCCAGCACAGCCCCAGTAAGTTGCCAGGTCTCCCGCCCCTCCGAGAGGCCGCGGGCGAGGGGCGGCCCGGGCACTGGGGCCGGCGGGGAAGGAACGGGGCGGGGGGTCCCGGAGCCGCGTCCAGCTGCGCGCAGCTACCCGAAGGCCGAGCTCCATCGACTCTTCCGCGGGGAGTCCCAGGACCGTGGGCTGGGGCCAAAGCCGCAGACCCTGGTCCTCCGGGGTGCGCCTCGCCCCGTCCGGTCCCTAAGCAGCCAGTCCTGCCGGGGGTCTTCGGGGACCGCTGGAACTGGGAGAGGGCATGGCACGGCGACTTCGCGGGGACCCTTGGGTCACTCTTTCCAGGGGGCCTCCGCGCACCCCTCTCTGGGTGGACGGGCTGAACCTCCCGTCCCTGCACCCTGCGGGGGTCCCTGAAGTCGTCTTCGCTCCCTTGGGGTTCTTGGTTTAAATTAGAAACCCAGCTTGGAGCACTGGAAGTCTCTCCATGTCCTGCGGGGAACCTGGTGAGTGGGCCGTCGTGGTGTTTGTACTGGGTATTTTAAAGTAAATGAGTGCCTTTTTAAATCCGTTTGAGATGGGCTGTATCTTTGAAGCCCATTTCATGAAACTGTTCTTGAGGCTTAGAGAATCTCCCTACCCATCATCCCAGAGTACCTGTCCGCCCAGAAAACTTTCTTGCCATCTTCTATTGACGCATACATCCAGTTTATGGAGTAAGGTATTGAGAGATTGTATCTTAAACTCATTTAAAAGAAATAAGCTCAGCAAAAGTCACAATTATACATAGCTTTTGAAGTGGATATAGTGTCTGGATTTCAGGAGAAAAAGTCCTCAGCCTCTTCAGTCTTGTAAATATTTATGCAAAACTGTCTAAAGCCTTTAGGTGACTAATTTTGGACCAGTAATAAGATTTATTTAGACGTTTTTGCAGAAACACTAATCCTTTTAATGAGGGGATATCGTCAGATCTTACTCAAACAAGAGCTCTCTGAATCTTGTCCAGGGCCGCCTGCGTTATAAAATTAGAATGTACGTGGCCTTGACTTGATACTTTTTCATTCTTGCCTGAGCCAGTCTTTAAAATTTAATAATTATCTCCTGCGGAAAGTGAAACATTTTGGGTTTGTAGTCTTTCTCTAGGTGTATAGGATGTGAATAGTGTATATTCATTATGTACCTTGTTAGGATTGCTTTGTAATTAGTAAATCCTTTTTTATTTTAATTGTATTGGAGAGTCACATGAAATGATCTCTCTGTGCAGAATATATGACTTTTCTCCCCTCCTTTTACCAAAAAGTTGCTAGTTGCCCGCTCTGGATGGAATCTGGGAGGCCACTGTATTGTGATTTTTCAAGTTTCCTCCCTTGGCCTGCACTTTGTTTCCATGCTGTGCCTTGATCTGGGAATGGTCATCTACCTTAAGGCATTTTAATCTTTTAGGGTGTGCCCTGGCCTTGGAGACCAGAGTAAAGCGCTGTGGTATCTGCAGAGATCCAATTTGCGGAATCCTTGGCCTCCTAAGCGGTGGACACAGCCCTTTTCATTCCAGAATCTCCCCTGTCACTGGGCTTTGGAGCCTGTGAAGGCACATAGAAGCTAGCAGGGGAGCTGTGGCAGTTTAAAAAGCTTGAGCATACCTTGGAGTTTTTCGTCTTGTATTCCCTTAGATCTTTGCCATGTGAACATGTGTGCCTGAAGAATTTTAAAGTTCAGGTTTCTTGCTTTGCGCTGCAAACACCTTTGCAGAGTGGAAGTGCCTTGTCTCAAGTGTAGGTGGTCTACCTTCTGTTTTCTTTTCAGACCTCCTGGCTTAAGCTGTTGTTTCTCCTGGTGGTTCTGGCCAAACCCAGAGCCCTCGTTATGGCTATTTCTTCTCTTTTCAGTCCTACCTTTTCAAATGGTTTTTCCCTCATGGTTGTCCTCTGGCGACTTCCCTATTTAGCCTAGTAGCTAGCCTCTGTCTTCTGTTTTATTTTTCCCTCTCTCCCTCCCTCTCTCTCCGTTTCCCTGGGTCTCTCTCCCTCTCTCTCCCCCTTTCCCTCCCTCTCTCTCTCCCTCTTCCTTCCCTCTCTCTCCCTCTTCCCTCCCTTCTCTCTCCCCTTCACTCTCTGTGTGTTCAGAGCCATCTGCTGGTTTTTTAGGTGCCCTTTGGTGAACAACTTGCAGAATCTTAAAAACACCTTCATGTTGCTGTTTGCTTTATTTCCCCAATCGTGTAGATATGAACACATTGATTTTGAAGACTCTTATAAACTACCTAATAGATGCCAAATATTTAGAACAAAAGCAAAAAACTTTAGTGGAATATATTTCTAAATAGTCACGTGTTTAGTATTGGGTGCATGATTTCAATGCTTGGTCATCCAACTGAATCCTGAAAAACTCAGTTAAATAAGATTTCACTTAAGTGATAGCACTTGTCTAAATGGGTTTGAAAATGGAAGTCGTCAACTCATTACTAAACCTTTGATCTGGATATTCAAAACCATATAGATACAGCCTTGAATGACAACAGAAAACGAATGCAACTGTTCTTGTCATTGTCTTCCATTTTAATAACTTCATTTTAGTACCTAATACAGTATCTGTCACATAACACATACTTAGTATGTCTTTATTGTTGAGTGAATGCTACTGATTTCAACAGTTTGAGAAAAGATGTTTTATCTGTCTTCAAATGTATTTATTCCTTAATTGAAAACTTACTGAGTTTCTACTCCGTACACTGGAAAATCAAAAAACTAATGTGTAGCTCCAGTTTCAGAGGGATTCTATAATTGTGTTTACTTTTGGTGAACTCCACTGATGGATTTTAAGAGTAGCTTTTTATTTTGCTCTACTATATTAAAAAATACCACCACTTCTAAGCAGGTGATTTCAGAACTGCCTGTGCCACAAAGCAAGTAATTTACATGCTCTCTAATACATGAAGATGATGCTACTATTTCATCATTAAAAGCACATATGCTGGACACTTATTTCACTGGTAGTAACACATTTGTCCTCAATCCTCTTCTATTTTGCTTTTATTTGACTCTCTGGCTCTTGTTTTAGAAGTGGTGTCTGTGGCTATGGAAATGTTGTGGATGACATTGACAAAACCCAGCCAATTCAGGCAGATCACTTGAGGCCAAGAGTTTGAGACCAGCCTAGCCAACATGATGAAACCCTGTTTCTACTAAAAATATAAAAATTGGGTTAATAAGTGTAGCAAACCACCATGGCATATGTATACCTGTGTAGCAAATCTGTGCATTCTGTACATGTATTCCAGAACTTGAAGTAAAATAAGAAATAAAAATACAAAAATTAGCCAGGTGTGGTGGCAGGCGCCTATAATCCCAGCTATTCGGGAGGCTGAGGCAGAGAATCACTTGAACCCGGGAGGCGGATATTGCAGTGAGCCAAGATTGTGCCGCTGCATTCCAGCCTGGGTGACAGAGAGAGACTCTGTCTCAAAAAAAAAAAAGCCCAGCCAATTAGGGGTTCATTTCTGTCTGGCTCCAACTAGTTAAGGTAATTGCAGTATGAGTCACCTATTAATTTTTCTTGTCCATCTTAGTAATGGAAACTGTTATATATCAATTAATGGAAGCAAGCAGTAGACTGTTTTCACTTTCTTAAGGACTTTTTTTTTTTTTTTTTCAGACAGAGTCTGGTTCTGTCACCCAGGCTGGGGTGCAGTGGTGGGATCTCGGCTCACTGAAACCTCCACCTCCTGGGTTCAAGCACTTCTTATGCCTCAGCCTCCCAAGTAGCTGGGATTACAGGCATGTGCCACCATGCTCACTCAGCAAATTTTTGTAATTTTAGTATAGATGGGGTTTCACCATGTTGCCCAGGTTGGTCTCAAATTCCTGGCCTCAAGTGATACATTCACCTCAGCCTTCCAGTGCTGGGATTAGAGGCAATGAGCCACTGCTTTCGGCCTCTTATGGACTCTTAAACTTTAAATATTTCTGAGAAAGGCTTCTGCTGCCATTATGCTGACCTCACTGGTAAGTATAATTGGTATTGACTTAAGAAAAGATTTGAGTTAATGAGGCTATTTTAAAGGCTGGATTCGAATATGTGAGTCACATCTCTTCTGTTCTTATTTAGACTTTAAGTTTGAATCTCTTTCTTCAGAGTGATGTGGTTCCCTGTTTCTCTGGGTGTTATGGATGTGATGTATTGTGGAAAATCTTGGGAGTTTCTTGATACAGGACTTTATACATCCAAGACTGAATCATCAAGCTAGAGCATTCTAGTGCTACAAAGGTCATTAATTTAATTTTTTGCAGTATCCCCATCCTCCTGCAGAAAATAAAATATAAAATATGTAAAATGAAATAAAAAATGAAAGCAACACTCGCACACCCATTCTGGGACTGCTGAGTACTTAGCCCCCCTCTACAGAACTGAGCCTAATCTCTGATTCAGTAGCGGGAAGGCAAGTGATACGAGAACATTCCATGACCTTTGTAACAGGAGCTTAAAAGAAAAAGGCCCCGACTGTGTTGTATTCATTTTTGGAATATTTGGTGAACAATACACAACAAAGAATTTTTATGTCCCTTGTTGATTCTTACTAGTTTTTCCCACAGTTGTGGGGAAATTTTTCTTCTTTCTTTAACCCATTCTGGCTTCATCAAGGCTCCCTAAGTCTTCCTACAAGTATATATGTATATACACGGTGGGAATATATCTGTGGCTAAGGTGGGAGGATCTGTTGAGTCAGGGAAGTGGAGGCTTAAAAAAAAATGGAGAAATCACAAGAGGCCTTTAGTTATCACTTCCATCATTGCTTCTCCCAGCAGGAGACTCTCTGAAGACCAGCAGGAAAGCAGTGAGCCTTTACTGGTTAGTGTTGATTCCAATCTTGGCTTGCACCTGGGAATGGAAAAAGGACTGATTTAGAAAAAGAAAAGTGTTGACCATGGAAAGATTTTTGTCTATTCCATAGTAGAGAAAGATGAGTTCTTCTATTAGAAGGAAACACATTCAGTTTAATGTCTTATCACAGGCCTAGTAGAAGAAAAGAATGTTTTAAAAGAATCTTGGCCAGGCGTGGTGGCTCAAGCCTGTAATCCCAGCACTTTGGGAGGCCGAGGCGGGTGGATCACGAGGTCAAGAGAACGAGACCATCCTGGTCAACATGGTGAAACCCCGTCTCTACTAAAAATACAAAAAATTAGCTGGGCATGGTGGCACGTGCCTGTAATCCCAACTACTCGGGTGGCTGAGGCAGGAGAATTGCCTGAACCCAGGAGGCGGAGGTTGTGGTAAGCCGAGATCGTGCCATTGCACTCCAGCCTGGGTCACAAGAGCGAAACTCCATCTCAAAAAAAAAAAAAAAAAAAAGAATCTTTACTGAAGACTTAAATCCCTATAAGATAATAGCTCTTCCATTGTACAAAGAAGGTTTCCATGAAGGTATGGAGTTGAGTATCACTGCTTCACTTTCCAGGTTCCTGGTTCTTGTGAATGTACCTTTTAAAAAATTTTTGATAATCATTCCTGA